GCCAAAAACAAGGCTTTTTCCCCCTGCTTCCCTGGCATGCGATTGTTTCCGACAAACTTAGCTGACAGTTACATTAAGGGCCCCGGAAAATACCATAGCAGAACTAAAGCAATTATTGTAATGCAGTCTTAACAGGAGCTATAATGAGACAGAATTAAAAAATGTGCCAGCATCATCACAGACCATCGTTCCCGATGACCTTCCAGCGGCTCCTGGCTCCGAAACGACAGCCAGCCAGGCAGTCAAGCGCTCCTTCTGACAACACGGAGCAAATCCACGGGGGCCTGTCTGCATGCTCCAGTCTCATTTGGACAGGCTTGTGCGTTGCAATTTGCAAAACAAAGACCGGCGGCTCAATTTCCTCCGACGCTCCTCAGGGGAAAGTTTTGGATCTGGAGCCAGTCTGCTTTGCCTCTCAGGAAATAAATAAATAAATAAATTGTAGGTCAGATCACAGAGCAGAGCCAAAGTGGCCCCTCCCTCCATGAGAACCTGCCTTATACTGAGGCAGAACACTGGTCCATGAAGCCTATGGTGTCTGGTGATAGGGTAGAAAGCAGGGAGCCCAACAGTAGGTGGCGCCAGAGCGAATAACAAGCACAGTCAACTCATTCTAACTTTGTCCTCCTCCTCCCCTCTGCTGAGCTCTACAAGGACAACACTGAGACTAAGGAGGAGGATGCTAACTACCAGTTCCACTCTCTGGTTAGAAGTAGTAGTAGTAGTAATAGTAATAATAATAATATTTTTTTATTTATACCCCACCCTTCTTGCTTTAAAAACCGGGCTCAGGGCGGCTAACAGCAAATATAAAACAATGATTAAAATGCAACTTTAAAACAGCATAAAATACAACATAAAATGCAGCAGCAATATCAATCAAATTCAAAAATTCAGGGATCGTTTTGGGGAGGGGAAGAAAAACCCAGTCAGTAGACATCAAATGATCACCAGGGCTAAGTGGCCAAGTTGGGCCAGCTAGGAGACCAGGGAAGAATTTAAATGTGGGGTCCCAGAAAGGGTTTCTTCATAGAAGAGGAAAGGGGAAAAGGGAGTAGAGGATCAGGCTAATTCAAATTGAAGGCCAGGCGGAATAGCTCTGTCTTACAGGCCTTGCGGAAGGAGATCAAGTCCTGCAGGGCCCTAGTCTCATGGGAGAAGGCAAGAAGGCAAGCAAGTGTGGGCTGGCAGAGGGCAGGCTGAGGTTGGTCAGCTAGTGCCCTGTTTGTTCTAATAGACCAGCCTTCACTGCATGAGCCTACACTAAATAGCAGCTCTTTCCAGGGTTTTAATGGGGTGGTGGTGGTGCTCAAAGACTTACTTGGTGTCTGAAGTAAACCAGTAACTAAAGCCATATATCAAAGTGTCTGCTTCCTTCATTCCAAGGAAACACAACCTTAAGTTTCGCTCTGGAACCCCTGAAATCTCTCACAGAACTTTTTGTTTTTCCTGGGGCTACTCAAGGGTGCAGAGTACCGGCACTTTTCTCCCAAATGTTGGAAGCGTGGCACTTTCTGCAACAACTTCACGGCGAGTAGAATCATCGAATTGTAGAGTTGGAAGGGATCTCCAAAGGCCATCTAGTCCAACCCCCTGCAATGCAGGAATCTCAGCTATAGCACCCATGACAGATGGTCACCTGACCTCTGCTTAAAGACCTCCAAGGAAAGAGAGTCCACCACTTCCCGAGGGAGACCATTCCATGGTCAAACAGCTCTCACTGTCAGAAAGTTATTCCCTATGTTGAAGCCATTGGTTTGTGAAATATACTCAGAGTCCTGTAGTGATTTCATGCTCTTTATTGCAACTTGTAAAACAATGATTTAATTGCCCCCCAAACCTCAGGCTTTTATATACAGTGGTACCTCTGGACACAAACGAGATCCGTTCCGGAGCCCCGTTCGCATCCTAAAGTAAATGTAACACGCAACTGCATGTCTGTGTGTGCACGGGTCGCGTTTCGCCGCTTTCGCGCATGCGCGTGACGTCATTTTGAGTGTCTGCGCATGTGCAAGCGGCAAAACCTGGAAGTAACGCGCTCCGTTACTTCCGGGTCGCCACGGAGCGCAACCTGAAAATACTTAACTTGAAGCTACTTCAACCCGAGGTATGACTGTACATTATTTACACAATGAGTCCTGTCTGATTGGCTGATTCTGCTTTCCTCCTGGAGCCTGATTGGTTTTTTCCTGCAGGCCAATCAGTTGTTGCATTCTATGATCCTACCAGCCTAATAGGCTGATTAACTTCTTCCTGGAGCCTGACAGATTTTCTCCTGCAAGCCAATCAGTTGTTGCATTCCAGGATCCTACTTGCCTATTGTTCTAGGATCCAAGGTTAGTATATAACAGTTCGAGTCCTACTCTCCAGAGCAGGAGAGAACGAGCTTGCTCCATCCTCCATGTCACAGCCCTTGAGATATTTGAAGATGACTACCATATCTTCTCTCGATCTCCTCTTTTCCATGCTCCTCATGCCTAGCTCCTTCAACCGTTCTTCATACGGCTTGGCTTCCAGTCCCTCGATCATCTTAGTCACCCTCCTTTGCACCAGCACCTCCATCACCCCCCCTAAAAGCACTGAATATATGAATATATATGGAAAGGAAGGTCGCTTTGACAAAAGGCCTGGAACATTTTGTAGGCAGAACATTTTGCAAATAAACAAAGGTTATGAGTTAACGGTGCCTGGCAAGAAAATCGTGAAAAGGACTGTGTGGGAGGAAGTGTTTGTTTTTAACAGGCGAGTCTTTGGGATTAGACGTCCTCTGTGCAATTTCACTGACAGCCGGGGGGAGGGGTGGGGGGTGGAGAGGTGTCAGGAGCTGGTGAAACGAAGGGCGGAGATTATATATGACCCTGTGAAGTTAATGGATGGTTACCAGATTTTTTTCAATGAATCCAGGGACGACTCTTCTTCTTCTTCCTCTTCTTCTTCTTCTTCTTCTTCTTCTTCTTCTTCTTCTTCTTCTCCTTCTCCTTCTCCTTCTCCTTCTCCTTCTCCATCTCCTTCTCCTTCTGTTTTGAAGCTGAGTAGCAACAGGGAGCCAGTAGTGGGGATGGTGAAGCAAAAGACCCTGGGCCCAAGCACACATGCATATTGTTCAAAGGTGCAAAGCCCTTCTTTCGCACCCTGTGAAACATAAATGCGAACAGCTTTTTAAAAACTGGGCAACGGCCACCCTCCCGCAACTCCCGAGCCTCCCCCGATCAGTCAAAACAAAGGGGGCAGGAGATCTGTACTGCCGGACGTCCCTGGTTCTCCTTTGGCGGTGGCGGTGGCAGTCAGCAGCCCAGAGCCAGCCTGGTAGCGCAGTTGGCTCTGGTTGGCTTCGGGAGCTGCTCGCTGCCGTGGCGCCCTCCATTTTTCTGGAAGTTTAGGAGTATTAGGGGATAGGCCAGAGAGAGCACCCCCCTTTCATAAGCTCACATAAGGTAAAGGGACCCCTGACCATTAGGTCCAGTCGTGACCGACTCTGGGGTTGCAGCACTCATCTCGCTTTATTGGCCGAGGGAGCCGGCGTACAGCTTCCGGGTCATGTGGCCAGCATGACTAAGCCGCTTCTGGTGAACCAGAGCAGCACACGGAAACGCCATTTACCTTCCCGCTGGAGCGGTACCTATTTATCTACTTGCACTAACACTCTTTCAAACTGCTAGGTTGGCAGGAGCTGGGACCGAGCAACGGGAGCTCACCCCGTCGCAGGGATTCGAACCGCCGACCTTCTGATTGACAAGTCCTAGGCTCTGTGGTTTAACCCACAGCGCCACCCCCGTCCCAAGCTCACATAGAACCACAGAAACGTACTTAGGAAAGGGGGTGCTCTCTTGCCCATCCCCTCTAATGCCCAGCCAAAGTGATCCATAGCCTGATCTGATACAACACTGTTTCATATGCTCACCTCTTTTCCATTTCAGTAACATAATTAGCAACAAGCGGTGCCTGTGTAAGGCAGAGAATGGGAAAAGGCCACAGCGAACGCAAGAGATTAATTGTTCAAAAGGTCGCCTAATTCATCAGAGGGAACAGAGAGGGCTTAAAAAAAATTATGTCACAGCCGCAGTGTGTTTTGTCGCGTTCCAAACTCAGGTTGATTCATATGTCTCAACGGCAGACCTCAAGGGGTTTGCGAGGCAGCACTCTTTGCAATAACATGGGGCGGGGCGAGAAGGGACTCTAAGAGCTCCCTCTAAGAGCACGTCAGGAAACAAGATGGAAAACATCCAGGCTTGGTGACGGGGCTTGTGCAAGAGCTGAGATGGATGGCCCGCCAAGTCCATTGTTTACCGTTCCCTGCTCTCTTCCAGTCTTGGCAGCAGAAAAGCAGACGAAGCACATTCCCAGGGAACAAGCTGAGAAAGGGCTGAGGTTGATGGTAGATGGCTTGAAAGAAGCAAACTTACAAGAAAAGAAAAGAATTACTGGAGAGGAGAACTTTATTTATTCCATATCTAAGTTCTTTTGACCATGACATTGCGCCTTCTTCTCCTCATAAGCACATATGGGACATGGGTGGCGCTGTGGTCTAAACCACGGAGCTTCTTGGGCATGCCGATCAGAAGGTCGGCGGTTCGAATCCCCGTGATGGAGTGAGCTCCCGTTGCTCTGTCCCGGCTTCTGCCAACCTAGCATTTCGAAAGCACACCAGTGCAAGTAGATAAATAGGTACCACTGCGGCAGGAAGGTAAACAGCATTACCATGCACTCTGGCTTCCGTCACGGTGTCCCGTTGCACCAGAAGCGGCTTAGTCCTGCTGGCCACATGACCCGGAAAGCTGTCTCTGGGCAAATGCTGGCTCCCTCGGCCTGAAAGCGAGATGAGCACCGCAACCCCATAGTTGCCTTTGACTGGACATAACCATCCAGGGATCCTTTACCTTTACGTATAAGAACATAAGATCCCTGCTGGATAAGAATTTAAGACTAGCCATTGGCTCAACTTCCCATCTAATCCTGCATCATTTTCACCCACCAGCCACTGAGATGCCTGTGGGAAATGAGCCAGCAGGATTCCTTAACTCAGTTGGTAAAGCATGAGACTCTTAATCTCAGGGTCATGGGTTTGAGCCCCATGTTGGGCAAAAGATTCCTGTACTGCAGGGGGTTGGACTAGATGACCCTCATGGTCTCTCCCAACTCTAGAGTTCTATGATTCTTAGATTTGAGCACAAGAGCACTTTCCCCTCCGATGGCTTCCAGGAATTGGTTTCCGGAAGACTAGGACTTTCCCCATCTCTACCTGGCAATAGGGGTGTATGGGGTGTTCGGGGAGGGGTAGTATCTATGGCAGGGGACACACCGTTCTCCTTCTGGGGTAGCTTGTCCACCTTTGGTCCCCTCCTTGCTCTCAGCTTTCACCTGTGGCTTACAGAAGCTATCAGCATGCAACAGCAGCCACACCCCGGGAAATGGCTTAAACTGGCCTACTAAACCAGATGAGAGTAGCCAATGGGTCCCAAAACCTTGGTGAGTTAGGGTCTTTCCCCTGCATGGAAAGAAAGGCTCTTCCAGACTGAGCAGATGAGACCAGTAGTGGTTCCAATGGTCAAGAAGGTAGGTTCTACACATGCTGTAGGGCAGCCTTTCTCAACCTGTGGGTTCTCAGATGTTGTTGGACTACAACTCCCATCATCCCTGAGCTCTGGCTTTGCTACCTAGGGGTGATGGGTGTTGTAGTCCAACAACATCTGGGGACCCACAGGTTGAGAAAGGCTGCTGTATAGCAAAGTGAGGGGCAAAGGCTGGACTGAATGAATCCCAAGCCGGAATTAAGATTGCCAGAAGAAATATCAACAACCTCAGATATGCAGATGACACAACCTTGATGGCAGAAAGTGAGGAGGAATTAAAGAACCTTTTCAATGAGGGTGAAAGAGGAGAGTGCAAAATATGGTCTGAAGCTAAACATCAAAAAAACTAAGATCATGGCCACAGGTCCCATCACCTCCTGGCAAATAGAAGGGGAAGAAATGGAGGCAGTGTGAGATTTTACCTTCTTGGGTTCCATGATCACTGCAGATGGTGACAGCAGCCACGAAATTAAAAGACGCCTGCTTCTTGGGAGAAAAACAATGACAAACTTAGACAGCATCTTAAAAAGCAGAGACATCACCTTGCCGACAAAGGTCTGTATTGTTAAAGTTATGGTTTTCCCAGTAGTGATGTATGGAAGTGAGAGCGGGACCATAAAGAAGGCTGATCGCCAAAGAATGGATGCTTTTGAATTATGGTGCTGGAGGAGACTCTTGAGAGTCCCATGGACTGCAAGAAGATCAAACCGATCCATTCTGAAGGAAATCAGCCCTGAGTGCTCACTGGAAGGACAGATCCTGAAGCTGAGGCTCTAAGACTTTGGCCACCTCATGAGAAGAGAAGACTCCCTGGAAAAGACCCTGATGTTGGGAAGGATTTAGGGCACAAGGAGAAGGGGATGACAGAGGACAAGATGGTTGGACAGTGTTCTTGAAGTTACCAGCATGAGTTTGACAAAACTGCGGGAGGCAGTGGAAGACAGGTGTGCCTGGCATGCTCTGGTCCAGGGGGTCACGAAGAGTTGGATGCGACTAAACAACAACAACAACACCTGGGAAGGTAGCTCATCAAGGAGAAGGAAAACTCTACTGCCTTGCGGGATATCTTCAGAAGAAGAAAAGACTACACTGATCCAGAGTGGAGTCCCTAAGGCGGTTGGATGGTGCCTTGTATGCCTCCTTCCTTCAACTCCTGCAAGCCAAGCTGGTGCCCAACATATTTCTCTGCTTTCCTTTGGACCCCATCAGCGAGGCTGAGAGAGGGGTCTTGTTGTCTGGGCAGCCCAGGACCTCCATATACATTATCTAGGCTTGCGGTCCAGGGAGGTCACTTTGGTGCTGCTAGCACAGCAGTTTGACTTCACCCCTGGAGGCGCACTCCATTGTCTCTCGAGACAGATGCATGCCAACAACCTGGAAATACCAAGAGGTGAGCCCTGCAGGGAAGGCAACTTAGAGTCTCATATGAATGCAATATCACACATGTCGGACCATTGGTCTATCGAGTTCAGTGTTGCATACAATGACTGGTTCTCCTCGCCTCTTCCTGGAGATATCTGGATACATTCTCCCATGGGCATACCCTGTCAGGTTTTCCTTGTCTCATTTGTGGCAGTTTCCATCCTGCCAAGGTTAAGGAACAATTCATGGTTGTGAATGGCATTAAGAAACATCAAGGAGCAAGATTGCACCTATAAAACAAAACATCTCAGCCCACCTGATGACAACGAGTTGGGTTCAGACTGCCAGCCTTGAGCGAATGTACTTGAGATCTGAAAGCAACTATGCTTTATTGCTCAGATATCTTCATTCTCCAGGGGTCTTCGAAGGAGCCCTCTGCAGCTTTACTCTGCTCAAATGCTCTCTTTTCTCCCTTTCTTCTTCCAGAATAAATCCTGAAGGATTCCACGTAAAACACCAGGGCTAATTAAACCAAATGGTACCCCACTATGTCACTGGTGTTCTGGTGGAGCCTGACGGATCCATGTGTCTCTGGTTTGAATTAATTAAGGAGCGCACTCTGATAAAAACAGCCAGCACCCACTGAGATCTTAATAAAGAAAGGGACCGTCATGGAATCTCAAGAAAGTTTGCCTGGCGGAGAACGGAAGGCAACAAAAAGCAAACTGTTTGTGGAGCCACGAGGCTCGAAAAAATCAAATTACAGGAATGGGTGGAGACGGTGCAACTGACTAGCAAACTCAGAGGAAACTCAAAGCATAAATTTGCAGAAAAATGGGATGGTTATAGAAGATATGTTCAAAAATACAATAACAGTTTTGACTCTGTACTAGCATTCGAGTGATAAAGGAACTAAAAGGAGGTGGACAACAATTAAGGATTTATTATGTTTTCAGAATGTATTGGAAAATTTATATAGAAAGGTTTATTGTTTTGTGTACATTCGATTGTAAGATAAAATATATGCAAAGGGACTTGACAGTCAAAGTTGAAGAAAAGATCTTATAAGATAAAAGGGGGGAAATATTTACTTTCATTATTATCATTGTGTGTGTGTACATATGTGTGTTTTTGAATGGAATGTTTGGGAGGAAATAAGACGCTAAATAACAAACTAAATATTGATGTATGTAATTTTTATTTCTTAATTATATTTAGTGGTAGTATGGTTGTACTTTTTTTTGTAACATAAATTCATTCAATAAAAATTATTATTATTTTTTTTTAAAGAAGCAAACTGTGTTTTTGCTTCATGGTCTCTCCGATGGTGTCTTTCTCTTCAGACGCATCAATACATCTCCTTGCCAAGGGCGCAAGACAGCCTAGGTCTGCCTTTGCGTGAAGGAACAAGACTCAGGATTCAAGAAGTCAGAAACAATGTTTTCTCCGGCTTGTACACATCCAGTTGAGGTCGCTTTCAGAGGAATTCTTTCATCCAGCTTTAATTTAGATTCTCCCATGGCCAGCTCGGCTCTCATGTTCCAGCGGCTGTAATATTGTTAACCTTGGCTGCCTCCCCAAATTGGATTTGCCAAGGTTGGCTCAGTCACCCTCACGGGACGCCGTTTCCTTGAAAGCTCACCTCTTGCCTCTTTCCAAAGCTGGGTGCTGGCTCAGCAAAGGACCCGATGGATTTGCTAGCGATCCTTGAGATTCTGTGTGAGCGTTTGCTTGGCAGCTTTGAAATGAAAAGCGCCATGGTGTCTGGCAGGGAGTCGAGAGCTCTGGGGGAGGCCAGTTTTCCTATAAAAACAAAAGCAGCAAACAAGCTTCTAGCCCTCATTGTCACAGTGGGGCGCTTTTGAAGACCAGGGCTGTGTCCACACTCCCATTTTCTGTGTGCTTGCTGCATTCCCAGTGCTGTAGTTTTAATCTGTCTTCCTAGAATCATTCTTGTACCACAGAACTGCAGAGTTGGAAGGGACCCAAAGCATCATTAATAATAATAATAATAATAATAATAATAATAATAATAATAATAATTTATTATTTATACCCCGCCCATCTGGCTGGGCTTCCCCAGCCACACTGGGCAGCTTCCAACAAAATATTAAAATACCGTAATGCATCAAAACATTAAAAGCTTCTGTGATGTATGTATGATATATTGGGGGATGGCATTAAGCTTAAAGGTAAAGGTAAAGGGACCCCTGACCATTAGGTCCAGTCATGGCCGACTCTGGGGTTCTGGTGCTCTTCTCGCTTTTACTGGCCATGCTTCCGGGCCAGCATGACTAAGCCGCTTCTGGCGAACCAGAGCAGTGCATGGAAATACCGTTTACCTTCCCGCCGGAGCGGTACCTATTTATCTACTTGCACTGGTGTGCTTTCGAACTGCTAGGTTGGCAGGAGCTGGGACCAAACAACGGGAGCTCACCCCGTCACGGGGATTCGAACAGAGCGGCAATTTCAAAAAGTCTCTATAAGGGCTTGCACACCATTGTTCTGGGTTCCTCCTCCCTCCTGCATGTGGTGAGTGAGGACCCTGTTGCAACAGTTCAATAAAGATCAGGCTTACTAGGTGCTTTGCTTCTCAATATTCTCTGGTTGGCCTCTGTTATTTTCTCCTACCGATAGGGAACCTACGTAAGGACTCTATACGGGCTCTTGGATACCCCATAAGGGGAAAGGAGCAGATTTTGTTTAGATCACTATGATTCTATGATTGGACACTTTTCTATGAATCTAGACACTTTTCCTTCCTCGAAAATCAAAACTTGAGCATGTCCATTTGCAGCTGCTCTTAGGCGTTGTTCCACCACACCACTAGATGGCACTAGAACGCTGTTCTGGGGGCCACCACGAGCAGAAATCCCTTTCTTCCCATCAGCACCGCCTGTTGTCTCTCCTGGACAAGACAGCAACAGCACCCTCCACTCTGAACAGCTTCCTCAGTTTGATGCTTCTTGGAGCCGGCGACACAGACCTCTTCCTTGGCTGTCACGATGATCTATTTAATCCCCCTTCATGCTCACACATCCGAACGGCAACCTCTTGGTTGCATTAGCTGCCTTTCGAGCCAGTGATTGAATATCACTTGTGTGTTTTCAATCAAGGCTCTCGAGGATATGCGGGAGCCTCAATCTAAT